TTCATCAACTGATATTATGCGGTCTCTTTTCAGGTCTAAAAGATGGCAACGTATATGCAGTTGGTGACAGTTCGGTTGTGGAAAAACAAAAACAGATGTCATCTGATTCTCATATGTTGAAGCGCTTTGATGTCCCTAATCTTTACCGTAGCCAAGACCATAATAAAGTTCATATTAGCTTATTAGAGAATAACACAGTGGGAGTGGGAGCAGGGAGAGCAGCTAGCCATTCTTTGAGGAGAGCTGTTGATAGTGATAAAGGAAACAGATCTAATCTGAACATGGAACATAAATCTTATTATCTTAATGCTATGGGTGATCACTACGAGAATGGCCTCTTTTCAAGTTCATTATCGGATCTTTTCAGTAGAAAATGTAAAAGAGTTACCCTTTTCCATTTCCATTGATGTTGTTATACACGGAAATTTATGTTTGTTTGTGTGTGCAGTGAGATTATCAGCAAATAATAATAATAATGGTATGTATGGTCATTCTGTTGGAGCTGCTGCCTCCCAGTATGAAGAAGAGGAACCATTTGAATCTCTTGAAGAGATTGAGGCCCAAACTATTGGGAATCTACTCCCAGATGATGATGATTTGCTCTCTGGGGTGACTGACGGGCTTGACCTTGACTGTAAAGTGCAACAGCAACCAGGCAGTGGTGATGATGTGGAAGAATTGGACTTTTTTAGCAGTGTCGGGGGGATGGAGCTGGGAGAAGATGGCGGACAAAGAAATTATGAAATTTCTGGGGAACAACACCACCCCCATGGAGAAAACCCATCAAGAACACTTTTTGTGAGAAATATCAACAGCAATGTGGAAGATTCCGAGTTACGCATCTTGTTCGAGGTATGTATGTATGTTTCTTTCTTTCTTTCTTTCTTTGTATTTGGATTATATATATATATATATATATATATGTATTGATGTTGATGACTGTGCAGCAATATGGTGAGATCCGCACTCTGTACACAGCCTGCAAGCATCGTGGGTTTGTGATGATATCGTACTATGATATAAGAGCAGCCCGACGAGCCATGCAAGCTCTTCAGAACAAGCCATTGAGGCGTAGAAAGCTTGACATTCATTACTCCATTCCGAAGGTTGCTTTTTCCATCCTTGTGTATGATACGGTTTTAGTTCATGGTCTTGTTGTGCCTAAAGACCCGTTGGTTTCAGCTTATCTATACGTCAATGTGCTATGATGTATTATTATATTAAAGAAGTTGTTATATTGCTATAGTCTTTTGATTATATACAGTGTTTTTTTTTTTGTCAGGACAACCTCTCGGACAAAGATGTTAATCAAGGCACTGTTGTGATATATAACCTGGATTCTTGTGTTTCTAATGATGAACTTGGCCGTATTTTTGGTGTCTATGGTGAGGTTAAGGAGGTAAGATTGATTTTGCGATTATTGTGTTTTGAGGTGAGTGTGAGTTGGTGGTAGTATAATAATAGTTCTCCTGGGAATGGGATGATGATGCAGATCCGTGAAAATCCACAAGGAAGTCGTCACAAGTCCATAGAGTTTTATGATATTAGAGCTGCAGAAGCTGCTTTATGTGAATTAAACAAGAGTGACATTGGAGGAGGGAAACAGATGAAGCTTGAACCCAGCTGTCCCGGTGGTTCTAAACGGTATAGCTGGTTGTAAGTTTTTAACCAACATTCTTTTCTTATTACTATATATTTATAGATATATGTGTTGATGTTAACAGTCCATTTCCCGAGCTGGATCTTGATGAAACTAGTGCGTTGTTGCAAATGTGTAGCCCTCCTACTGATTTCACAACAGAAATATCTGGTATGATATCTGAGTCACACCACTCTTGGTTGTAATGTACCTGATGTAGATTTTGATCTATTTATTTATTTTTAGCAGGATCAGGTTCACATGTTCGAGTTAACATGGACAATGGAACTCGGTTGGGTGTTCATTCTGCAACTGCTGCTGCCACTCAACTATTAGATGCCGAACTCCAACATCAACATCAACATCAGCATCAACATCAACATCAACGTGGCATCGGTATTGGCATCATCCCATCACTGAAATATGATTTCAGGAGCACACCAAATTACCACCCTCACTCACTTCCAGAGTATCAAGATGGCTTGACCAATAACTTTCTATGCAATTCTCCTAGTACCATGGCTGGCAGAATGTCTGAAAGGGTGGCGGGAAACAGGCAGCAGCAGCAGTTTAACAGAATCGGTGGCGGTGGCTCAATTGGACGCTCACTTGAACTTAATGACACTGGTAAGGAGGCTTGTATCTATATATCTATATATCTTGCTGAATCCAGATCATGATTTGACTCGGTCTCTGGTATCTATCTCAGTGTTTGGCAGCTCTGCTGGGAATGCTGCCACTCATCCTTACATGTGGAATCCTTCTCCCTCTCCACATAGCCATAACATGATGTGGCCCAATTCACCATCTTTAATAAACGGGGTCGGAAATGCTCATAGTGCTCCACTGGTGCATGCTCTTCCCAGAGCACCAACTCATGCCGCCAACACTTTTCTGCATATCAACCAGCAGCAGCAGCATGTGGGATCCGCACCCTCTGTGAATCCTTCTATCTGGGATAGACGCCACTCTTATGCAGGGGAATCCCCTGAGGCATCAGTTTTCCATCCAGGTTCTCTTGGGAATATGAATATGAGGGTTCCAGGTCTGGATTTTGTGTCTCATTCGCATAATATGTTTCCTCCTCATATGGGTGACCTGCCAATTCCATCAAAAACCATCCATCATCAGAATAATGTAATGTTTCCTACTCGAGGACAACTGATTCCTATGATGGGTTCGTTCGATTCTTCTTCTTCTTCTGGTGACCGGGCTAGAATCCGTAGAAATGAAGCCACTTCAAATCAAGCCGATACCAAGAAACAATTTGAACTCGATCTGGACCGTATAATGCGTGGGGAAGACAGAAGGACCACGCTCATGATCAAGAACATCCCTAACAAGTATGTATATTTTATTTTATTTATTTATTTCATCCATTCATTTTTATTGAATGTGGAAAACTGCAGGTACACTTCTAAAATGCTGTTGGCTGCAATTGATGAACGCCATCGTGGAACATACGATTTTATCTACTTACCCATTGATTTCAAGGCTAGTACATATCAACATATAATTTTTTTTTTTTTTTTTTTTTTTTTGTGTGGTAGAAATAGAATGGCATAGATTAACAAACAGTATGCTGTTTATGTTGGCAGAACAAATGCAATGTGGGTTATGCGTTCATCAACATGACTGAGCCTTCCCTTATTGTTCCGTTCTATCAGGTATGTATGTGTTTTACTAAAAACTAGCCTAGCTACTGCTAGTATTTGATTAATGAATGAAAGCATGAATTACAATTTACAACAGGCGTTTAATGGGAAGAAGTGGGAGAAGTTCAACAGTGAAAAGGTGGCATCCCTTGCATACGCTCGCATACAGGGAAAAGCTGCACTGATTGCCCACTTTCAGAATTCAAGTTTGATGAATGAAGATAAACGCTGTCGCCCAATCCTTTTCCACACTGAAGGTCCAAATGCAGGGGATCAGGTAATGCCATTGTGCTTTTAGTTGCATTCTTGATTGATTTCTTCTTATAATGTATGAATTATGATGTGATGTTTGGTATGCAGGTGCCTTTTCCGATGGGTGTTAATGTTCGATCTCGAGTCAACAAAAGCAGAAACAGCAGCACAAATGAGGATGCGGGAAATGGTGAGGCCTCTTCAAATGGCGGGGACTCATCTTCAGGTTCCACAAAGGATTTTGAGTGCTGAGAAAGCCCAAGGCTGCTGCTCCTTTTTGTCGTGCTTGCTAAATGCTAACCTTCTTCTACTTCTACTTCTACTTTTACTTCTACTTCTACTTCTTCTAGATAACAAACAACAAACAAACAAACAAACAAACAAACAAACAACATTACCATAATTAATTGAAGCCAACCCACCTCAAATTTTCTAATGTACATTGAGCCATGGGTGGGCCCAGGAGGGAAAGAGCAGCTTAAAACAAATGACATTCTTTTTCTGTACTTGTGGTGCTGACTGAGAAGAAGCTTCTAAATTTTGGGTTGTTACTTGCAAGGAGAAGAGGCTTATAGATTTTGATGAATTAAGAGGAGGGTACCCTACTGATTTATAGCAGTTGATAGGCAGACCGGGGGAGGGGATCACATCAACAAAGCCTCTTATGGTCTGATAAATCGAGTATCCTGTTTTTTGACCCTAGAGCCCTCCCCTTTGCTTCTATCATTTCTGCTTCCTTTTTGTCCATGTTCATTTTTGCTTGACATTTTTTTGCATTTTGTTTTGGAGAAGCTTGCATGAAATCCTTGTTTTTTTAATGAAGTTTTTGAACAATTTGTAGTATATCATGCTTGATTTGTTTGCTTGTTTTGGTTCTTGTTAAAAATCAGGCAAAATCGAATAACCATATTAGGTTTTGATCCCCACATTTAGCAACAAAAGCTGTGACCGATAGGTTCTATTGATCAATGATTAAACTGTTTTTTAATCTTTTGAGATCATGAACACACCTGAGATAAGACCCAAATAACATACTATTCAGCTCTCATCATGCATAAAATAAATACACATCTTTGCCAAAGATGATGAGGTGTCCTTCAAATGTTATCTAGGTATAAATCAGATGAACTAGTGATTCGTAACATTCTAGTCCATTGTGAAGGGTGGGTTCATGTTTTTGCGAGTATGAAAAACTTTCAGAATAATGGAAGAGACTCCTGATTTTCTCCATGTTAGCCTTGTAATTTGGCTAGGCTGAAAAGAAATGCAAACATGATTCACAATGTGGACATGATCATTCATTTTCATGGAATACAATGCATAATACGTAAACCTATATATAACCAAAACTAACATTTATCTCTTACAATTTGTTCCCAAGTGTTTTTTTGTAAATTCAATAAAGAAAATGGTACGAAATATTGACAGAAAGAAAATGAGGGGAAGGAAAATTATCTTTATTCCGTGTTCCCGAGTTCAAAGGAAATGAAAGAAAAATTTTAAGTTTTTGTGTTCCTGAGTTGGGAGGGAAAAGAAAATAAACTTAAAGATTTTCTTTTCCCTCATTTTCTTTCCAAATCCGCCCATATTAAGAGAAAATTTTGGAATGAAAATATGACTTCAAAATCTTTTCCTTCCCCTCACATTCATTCCATTAATAAAACTTGGGAACACGATTTCCCTTCGACATCCCTCACTTTCTCTCCTTTTCCATCAATATCTCTCTTTAAGTAGAACTCGAGAACAAGGCGTTAGAGAAAAGATAAGAATAAAAAGAAGATAATAACATAAATTATCCCTGATGATGGCAAGGATAATATCAATTCCTACACTCCCCCTCATGCCGGAGCATGAAGATTATGAATGCCCAACTTGATTGCAAGATAATGTAGATGTTCTGAGCCTAATGGTTTAGTTAACAAATTTGTTAACTGATCATGAGAGTTAATTCGAATTGGTGTGATTTCTTTTGATTCTATTTGTTCTCTCACAAAGTAACAATCAATCTCTACATGCTTCGTTCGCTCATGAAAGACAAGATTATGAGCTATGTGACATGCTAATTCATTGTCACACAAAAGGGGTGTCGGCTTATTTATGTGCTCACCAAAATCCACCAGCAACCATCATGTCCAAAGAATCTCACTAACGGTGGTAGCCATTGCTCGATACTTAGCTTCTGCTGACGAACGCGAAACGACCGTCTGTTTCTTTGATTTCCACGAGATTGGTGCTCCACCCAAGATTAATAAGTATCCAGTTCGTGATTGTCGAGAGAAAGGACATTCCAACCAATCAGAGTCGTTGTAGGCTATTAAGTTTGTTCCTCTTTCTTTTGGTAAGAATTTGCCTTGACCTAAATTGGTTTTGAGATATCTAAGCACTCTTATGGAAGCTTCCTAATGATTTTGTCTAGGATCACAGACAAACTGGCTTAAGACATTAACTGCATACGTGATATCTGGTCTAGTTGCTTGAAGGTATAGAAGTCTCTTAATTAGACGTCTATACATGCTGACATCAACTGGTTCATGTTCATCTCCCTTATCGAGCTTGAGGTTCTGTTCCATTGGAAACCAACTAGGTCTGCAACCAAGTAAACCAGTGTCCAAAATGTCTATTGTATATTATTGTTGGCTTAAGACAAACCATTATTTGATGCGTGCTACCTCAATTCCCAAGAAGTTCTTCAGGTTGCCAAGGTCTTTAATGCTAAAACTCTTATCAAGACTGGACTTTGTGCTTTCGATCTTCTTCACGTCATTACCAACAATAATAACGTCATCAACATAGATTAAGCCTGCCACAAAAGTATTCCTGTTTTTGTGAATAAAAAGGGAATGATCTGCGTGTGATTGACGAAAGTCCAGATTGCAAAGAGTAACGATTGCAAAGAGTAGCTGTGAATTTGTGATACCAATTTCGGGAAGCCTTTTTCAACCAATTCAATGATTTCTTAATCTTGCAAACTCGAGTATCATTCTCTTTTCGAAAGCCTTGTGGTACCTTTATATATATCTCCTCTTCCAAATCACCATGCAAGAAGGTGTTATTTACATCCAACTGATGTATGATCCAATCGTTCTTTACTGCCATTGTCAATAACACGCGAACGGTTACAAGTTTGGCCACCGATGCAAATGTGTCATGAAAATCCACACCTTCCATTTAAGTATATCCCTTTGCTACGAGCTGAGCCTTATATCGTTCAACGTCCCCATTTGGTTTGTACTTAATTTTGTATACCCACTTGGAGTCTATTTCCTTCTTTCCATCTGGTAAGTGTTCAAGTTGCCAGGTTCCATTTTGGTCAAGTGCACCGACTTCTTTTCTCATTGCTTCTTTCCACCGTTCATCATGCACGACCTCACTGAAAGACTTTAGCTCATTGTGTGTAACAATGGCAACTAAGAATTCTTTGTGAGTCTTAGAAAAATTACTATAAGAAACATAGTTAGTAAGAGGATGCACCATTGAGGAAACAAGATTGGCTTCAGGTAGTGGATGATGTATCGATGGGGGTAGTTTAGTTTCATAGTTGTTGAAGCGTGCATGTTGCGTTTTGGTTCATTTTCCCCTTTGATTATCCACACCATCACTTTCTTGGGTTACTTCCAGATCCGTTTGCATGGGAACATCATCAATCTATATGGGAGGGTCACATAAATTGGGTGACTCAAGTTCTTTCTGATCTGATTCATTTGCTACCACATGATCACTTGTGTAATCATCGTGAGTGCAGCTCTCGTCGGCTTTCGGAAAGTGATGAGTGGAGGGTGATGTTTGATGGTCCGGTGTTACACCTTCAATTGAAAATTGAAATATTTCATCCCGAATCTCCTTATTGGCGTGTATACGTCTCATGGGAAAATCATGTTAAAGAAATTTAACATCTCTTGATATGATTAATTTCTTGTGTTCCATATCATAGATTTTATATCCCTTCGTTCCTTGTGGATACCCAACAAAGATCCCCGGTCTGCCACGTGGTTCGAATTTGTCTCTGTTTGTTTCGTGCTTCGATAGTACGCTAAACATCCAAAGATACGCATGCAATCATAGCTTGGTTTACGATTGTATTGTATTTCGTAGGATGTGACACCATGAAGGACCTTGGAAGGAAGACAGTTGATCACATAAGTGGCTGTTAAAATGCATTCCCCCTAAAACGTTTTTGGCAAGTTTGCTTGAAATCTAAGGGCACGAGCTGTTTCTAGCAGATGTCTATGCTTGCGTTGTACAACCCCATTATGTTGTGGGGGTGTAGGGGCATGATGTTTCAAGTATAATGCCTCCACTTGCATAGAATTCATGCATTTTGTTTGAGACAATTCTCCCCTGTTGTCACACCTTACCCATTTGATTTGTTTTCCGAATTGTGTTTTGACTATCTTGTGAAAATCAATGAGACAAGCATTAGCTTCGTGTTTATGTTTAATGAGAAACGTGTTGGATTAGGTGTCTAAGCCCATAAATATAATTGGTATGTACTTGACCCGGTAGTAGCATGGTCCATTTGGGTTGCATTCAACAAAGCAATATGTTAGGAAGGATATTTGAGTAAGAGGTTATTTATGATTTATTAATATATTATAAGTATAATATATTAATTGAGGAATCATATTATTTAATTAGTATTGGTCAATAATTAATTTAAGAATTAATTTAGTGATCAAAAGAGACTAATTAAAATGATACATATGAGTTGGGCTAAAGATCCATGGTTTGATTTGTGATGGGCTTATGTGTTAATCCATGAAGTATTTATCCAAATCAAATGGATGGATCATGGACTAAATGTGTATGGATTAGGGTTACACATGACCCTTGATATTCTACACACACACACACACACACACATATATATATATATATATATATATATATATATATATATATATATATATATATCTAAGTCCAAAATCACACCACTTGTTTTTAAAAGAGTGAGAACCGATTTTAGAGTCTCCATAACCTCTCTGCATATCCATCCTAATTGTTCTTGGTGTTTTGTGATTCCATTTGAGGCATCACACTTGGGGTGCTAAGCTTTCTTGAGGCCAAGTTATTCAAGCTACTACACAAGGTAATATTCTAACTAGTTTTTATGATTCAAATATCACCTTGGATTCTAGTTTGGGCTTCATGCTTTGGAAAATGTTTATTGCATGTATAATTAGAGAAAACTTAGATCCAAAGCATTAGGGTTGTATGTGTACCATAGGAATGTTAGAGTACATAACACCCAATAGTGGTATCAGAGCCTAAGATGTTTTCTAGTTGTATTGATGCAACTGTATAATTTTCAAAGCTGAAAAAACTGCAAAACTAGATTCTGCCAGGGCCTACTCGACGAGTCCATATATGAACTCGACGAGTCCATATATGAACTCGACGAGTAGGTGCCTTATGATGATGAACTCGTCGAGTTCATAAGTGCACTCGACGAGTTGGACTGTCAGTGGGCATAATCTTCGAGTTTTTGGCATGTTTTGGATTAGGAACATTACCACAAACTGTTTTGGTTTATAAAATTCGATTTTAATGATATGGTAATGTTAATCCCCATCCAATAACATGATGTTTGTCAAATTCTAATATAACTACTTGATTTTTGTGAAATACTAGTTATTTGTAAAATTTGAAGTTATCATGTAACATGAACAAATTAGGTCAAGTTGGTAAATAATCATCCTATCATAATTGGATTAGTTAATTTAATCTATATGTGTTCCCTTATTGTTCCGTTCTATCAGGTATGTATGTGTTTTACTAAAAACTAGCCTAGCTACTGCTAGTATTTGATTAATGAATGAAAGCATGAATTACAATTTACAACAGGCGTTTAATGGGAAGAAGTGGGAGAAGTTCAACAGTGAAAAGGTGGCATCCCTTGCATACGCTCGCATACAGGGAAAAGCTGCACTGATTGCCCACTTTCAGAATTCAAGTTTGATGAATGAAGATAAACGCTGTCGCCCAATCCTTTTCCACACTGAAGGTCCAAATGCAGGGGATCAGGTAATGCCATTGTGCTTTTAGTTGCATTCTTGATTGATTTCTTCTTATAATGTATGAATTATGATGTGATGTTTGGTATGTAGGTGCCTTTTCCGATGGGTGTGAATGTTCGATCTCGAGTCAACAAAAGCAGAAACAGCAGCACAAATGAGGATGCGGGAAATGGTGAGGCCTTTACGTATTATGCATTGTATTCCATGAAAATGAATGATCATGTCCACATTGTGAATCATGTTTGCATTTCTTTTTAGCCTAGCCAAATTACAAGGCTAACATGGAGAAAATCAGGAGGTTAAGTCCTGTCTTGGGAAGTGTTTCGCTATGAAGGACCTCGGAGAAGCTGCTTACATTCTATGGATAAGGATATTGAGAAACAGGAGTAAAAGACTAATAAGACATAGTCAAACTACCTACTTGGACAAGGTGTTGAAACGTTTCAACATGCAGGATTCCAAGAGAGGAGAATTACCTATCCAAAGCAATGCCAGACTGAGTAAGACTCAAAGTCCGAGTAGTGATGCGGAAATAGTAGAAATGAGTCGAGTACCATATGCTCCTGCTGTTGGCTTGATCATGTATGCTATGACATGTACTCGCCCTGATGTAGCCTTTGCATTGAGCATGGTTAGCAGATATCAAGGGAATCCTGGTAAAGCTCACTGGACTGCGGTAAAGAACATTCTTAAGTACTTGCGAAGGACTAAGGACCAGATCCTTACCCTCGGTGGGAGTGATGACTTAAGAGTGGTAGGGTATAGTGATGCCAGCTTTCAGACCGACAGAGATAATTTCCGCTCTCAGTCGGGCTGGATATTTACCCTAAATAGAGGAGCAATAACTTGGAAAAGTTCCAAACAGGATACTGTAGCTGATTCAACGTGCGAATCAGAGTATATAGCAGCGAGTGAAGCATCGAAGGAGGCGATATGGCTAAAGAACTTCATCGGAGAACTTGGAGTTGTACCAGCTATAAAGGAGCCCATGGAGATTTTCTGTGATAGCGATAGTGCAGTTGCCTTATCCAAGGAACCAAGAGATCATAGCAGATAAAGACACATCAACATAAAATATCACTTCATAAGACATCAAGTACAAGAGGGACTCCTCGTGGTTAAGAGGGTATCGTCAGAAGAGAATCCAACAGATCCCCTTACGAAGGGACTGAGTAGGGTTAAGCACTTGCGTCATGCTAGTAGTGTCGGGCTGAAGGACGATATTAGTTTTTAGTGATTAGATAGAATTTTAGAAACTTGTAATAGTCAAAATGTAATTGACATTTGATGATTGAATAAAAGGTGTTTTTATTTATAAGTAGTGTTACTGTCTTGTGTCAATTATTTACTATTGTTTCATTTTGCATGTTTTGACTTCCAGAGTAATAAGATTATTCAAACTATCCACAGTCGATCATACTTTGGAAGTAGGTAATGAAAGAAGACTGTCATGAATGGGTTTTTGTATGATTGTCTAAGGTGTTAGACATAGCAAAAGATTGCTACAAACATTCATCAGTGCTCTTGAAATAAGATTTGAGTATTGGACTAAACCCACGCTCACATATCACTTCATGGAATTTATCACGGGTGATTGTGAGACGATAATATTGTATAATCTTCAAACCAAGATATATGAGTTGGCGATTATTTGTTGATTGTACATTAATAGTGCGAAACAGCATCAGTAACTCGATGTTATAAAACGTGCTATTATGTATGATTCAATGAATAGTTAGTACAAGCATATAAGTCGAAGTTTATCTGTTCCTTTTATCCTATGAGGATAAGCAATATCTTGGGCCCCTCGATGATTTTGTTTTGACTTATGTGCCGGGCCCGGTCAGAACTCTATTGATGTGTTCAATTAAGTTCTATGTCGAACAAATCAGAAATCGGGAAACAAAATGTTGGACAATGAGTATAACTTTAATTCCATGTCTTTGTCCATACGATATCTTGTAGAACAGAGGATTATATGATCACTTATCTAATGGACGCATCAGAGTTCGACAACGACTTTTTGAGAGATATGATTGCTAATCGGATTTTAAGTTGCATTGGCAATTATAGTTATTAGACTTATCCAAGTGGGAGACTGTTGGATTAGGTGTCTAAGCCCATAACTATAATTGGTATGTACTTGACCCGATAGTAGCATGGTCCATTTGGGTTGCATTCATCAAAGCAATATGTTAGGAAAGATATTTGAGTAAGAGGTTATTTATGATTTATTAATATATTATAAGTATAATATATTAATTGAGGAATCATATTATTTAATTATTATTAGTCAAGAATTAATTTAAGAATTAATTTAGTGATCAAAAGAGACTAATTAAAATGATACATATGAGTTGGGATAAAGATCCATGGTTTGATTTGTGATGGGCTTATGGGTTAATCCATGAAGTATTTATCCAAATCAAATGGATGGATCATGGGCTAAATGTGTATGGATTAGGGTTACACATGACCGTTGATATTCTACACACACACACACACACACACACATATATATATATATATATATATATATATATATATATATATATATGTATCTCTAAGTCCAAAATCACACCACTTGTTTTTAAAAGAGTGAGAACCGATTTTAGAGTCTCCATATCCAACCTAATTGTTCTTGGTGTTTTGTGATTCCATTTGAGGCATCACACTTGGGGTGCTAAACTTTCTTGAGGCCAAGTTATTCAAGCTACTACACAAGGTAATATTCTAACTAGTTTTTATGATTCAAATATCACCTTGCATGCTAGTTTAGGCTTCATGCTTTGGAAAATGTTTATTGCATGTATAATTAGAGAAAACTTAGATCCAAAGCATTAGGGTTGTATGTGAACCATAGGAATGTGTGACAACCCCATTTTCACGGCCAGAAAAGACCGATTTTGTTTATGCTTTGTTTAAAAATCAGAGTAACATTTTAAATAAAAGTGTTGCGGAATTTGTTCCCAAAATAAAATATGATAAAGATTTATCAAAGCATTTCCATAGAAATGTATTTCATTAAAAACCTCGGGATGTCATGTTCGATACAGATCAAAAGCATAAACAGTACAATATAAGCCTTACTACATTTATTCATATCTACAGGCCTATATCCGTAATCTCTCATCCCAAACATCATATCTATGCTCGTGCACCACTACCTGTAATATAAGAAACAGAGTGGGTCAGGCTTGGGAGCCGGGTGAGCACATAGGGTTTTCAACCCACAATAAATAAGTTTATTAATTTCATCAACCCACAATAACCTGATTACCCGTTCCCGTTATCCTCACTTTACGTCCCTAAACACCTATCATAAGGGACCTAGCCTAAGGATCATCATCGGGATGGACACTACTGCTAAGGGGGCTCCTTAACAATAAATTCCCTAAAGGCAACCATGAGGGGATGGAGTACACCGGTGAACACATCGTTCACATACACCTACAGGTTGCGAGCCTGCTAGCGTTCCACTGGACTGTCTAGAAGAGTCCGTGGTGGTCATCCATACCCCGCTAGATGACAGAATCAACAACAACAACATCGAGGCCTCTCATCATTTTATCACACATCGTCTATTACATCTACCCATGTTTTCCCCCAACATTTTTGTAGATATAAAATACATATAGAGATTAAATCATTTGAAACATGTATAAAATCTTTCATCAGCATAGACAGCAAGTATTCAGACAATATGCACACATAGCACGTAGTTTATATTAAATACTTCATATCTATGTGTAAGATGAAAGTGACTATGCACTCACCTGAGTAGGTGGTGACTCGGTACTCGGACAACACTTCGTTATCCCAAAACAATTTTTCCTTTGACAAAACCTAGTATCAATACCACTAAGGTTTAGTCTAACGTTAACCGCGACTAATTAATAGTCTAACTATTATTACTATTATATAAGCGTTAAACAATACTTATATAACCCATAATAATAGCCCAAGTACATATTATAAGTTCCTAATAACATTACTATAATTAAATAAAAGCTATATTAAAAATAGCGTAGGCGTAGCTCACTTACAACAGGTTTTATAGAAAACCGGGCTTCGCTTGGAGCAGCGTTTCTGAGCTGAGAGACTCTTTTTCTCGGGACTCCGGGAGCCTCGGGGCTTCCTTCGGGTGCTAGGGGGTTTACCTAGACTTTAGGGGGCTTAAAGAGAGACTCTAGAGAGAGAAAGAATGCTTGAGAGGTGTGAAGAATGCTCTACCCCCGAGACGATATATCTATAGGAGGCTGAAATGGCTCTCACGTCGTGAATCTCTTGATGTTCACGTCGTGAGTGAGCTTGGGCCCAAGTCACAGTCTGGTGCTGACACGTGGCATCGCACAAAGGGTGGAAATCAACCGATTTTCAAAAATTCATAACTTTCGCATACGAGCTCCGTTTTCGACGTTCTTTATAACCACGCGTAGGTAAAAATAAGATCTACAACTTTCAATTTGACTCCGTCGGCTAATTCTCGACCGATCTTAAATTTAACAGTAGGAGGAGATTAGACTGTTAAATGACCGCGAAGAATTCGTAACGCCTTCATACGGACTCCGTTTTCGTCTGTCTTTTTACTGTTGAGTTCCTATTAATGAGATCTTCAACTCTCATTTAGGTCGCGTAGGCCAAAAACTACTCGAACTAAAATTCGAGTTTCGGGCCGCGCACTGCTAAGCCAAATCTTAGAAAATTCATAACTTCCTCATACGAAGTCAGATTTGGGCGTTCTTTTTATGGATGTTCTCGGTTTAACATATTCTAAGACTTTCGTTTAAATTACTAAGGCCAAAAAGTCTTTTATCGTAAATTCACTATTTACGCTTTCCGGTGTCGTGCCGGTTCCGTCGCGAAACTTCGACGGGTCATAACTTCTTCGTTATAACTCGGATTTCAGAGTTCTTTATATCCCCGGAATCCTTGTTTCGACCACCACCACTTTATGTAAAGATATCGGGTTTATCTCACACTTTAATTTTGACACTTATTTTTATTCTTTATTAATTATACTTTTATAATTAAGTATAAAGCACATAAATTCACATAATTCACATAATACTCAAATAATTCATTTTTATTACTTCAAAAAGAGTTACAATAGTTGACCTAGACTATTACATCATCTATTAATGCTTAGCCCCGAAACCCGGGCGTTACAATTCTCTCCCCCTTAGGAAGATTCCGTCCTGGAATCATGCATCAGCAAACAGATGTGGATAGCGACTCATCATGTCACTCTCTGTTTCCCAAGTGAGATTCGGCCCATTCGAATGTTTCCATCGGACTAGCACTAAGTCGACCATCTTGCGTCATAACTTCTTAGTCTTACGGTCAACGATTGCATCGGGCTCTTCGATTAGCCTCTTATTTTCATCCATCCTTAACTCTGAGATTGGAATTATGTCAGGAACTTCTCCCGTGAACTTCCTCAAATAACACACATGGAAGGTGTTATGAATACCATCTAGTTCTTCGAGTAATTCGAGCTTGTAAACTTGGTTCCCAACCCTCTAAAGAAATTTGAACGGTCCAATAAACCTTGGACTCAGCTTCCCTCGTTTTCCGAATCTTATAAGTCCCTTCCACGGTGAGACTTTAAGCAAAACGGAATCTCCAACTTCAAAAGTCATCGGTCGTCTTTTCTTGTTAGCATAGCTCTTCTGACGATCCTGAGCTGCTAACATCCTTTCCCTGATCACCTTTAACTTTTCAGCAGTCTCATGGACTATCTCGGGGCCCAGAAACTGCTTCTCTCCGGTCTCAAGCCAACAAGACGGCGTACGACACTTCTGTCCATACAAAGCTTGATAGGGTGCCATCTTGATTCTCGAGTGGAAACTGTTGTTGTAGGAAAACTCTACCAAAGGTAAGTGCTCATCCCAGTTACCTTGGAATTCTAGGGTACATGCTCTTAGCATATCTTCGAGTGTTTGTATCGTTCTTTGGCTCTGACCATCAGTCTGCGGATGGTAAGCTGTACTCAAACACAACTTCGTACCCAATTCCTCTTGTAGACTTCTCCAAAATCGTGACGTGAAACGACTATCACGATCTGATACAATCGTTAGAGGAACACCGTGAAGTCTTACTATCTCCTTCACGTAAGCATTTGCGATCTTATCCATAGACCACCTTTCGTTGGCTGCTATGAAGTGTGCACTCTTAGTGAAACGATCCACGACCACCCAAATCATGTCGTGACCGTTCTTCGTCTTGGGCAGTTTAGTCACAAAATCCATGGTGATGTCTTCCCATTTACCCATGGGTACAAGTAAGGGTTCTAAACTCCC